TCTTTCCCAAAATAACTGGAGATGAAGTCCCTTTCCTATAATTCTTTCCCGAACTTTTTTCCAGGAGGATTAAGCACTCTTACAGGTGACAGATGAATAGGGCATACATTTACAAATCACAGGACACAAGACTATATCCAACTCTGCCATATACTTTAACTCCACTCACTCCTAAATCCTCAAACATTGGGAAAAGGTAAATATAACCAGGCAAAGCTGTGAGAAAACAACTATTTATCTTCCAATTTAAGAAAAATATATGCAATTACTGCTTGTCATCAGAATTCCCACATGGAATTCTGAAACTTGCAAAAATCATGATGGTTCAGTAATCACTGTATAGTTATACCTATTCCTGAATCCACTAGCCAGGCCCACTAAATACTGCATGTTTTATCACCAAAAACCACAATCAATATCACGTGAAGGAACAATAACTTATTGGCATTAGATAGAAAACATGTTCCAGATGATGCACAAGCCTCTCAATCTGGACAACTGTCCCCTCCCTCCCAAACGCATCTTTTGTGAGGGGTAGGACATCTATTTCAATCAATACCTAGCTGGCATTTGTATGAGGGACCATGGGGTAGGAAAATGTGTTGCAACTGGCAGAAGGAATATGCAGCTTTTATGCTCTCCAATGTGGCTGTGAGAGCTAATCTACAAGACCAGCAGTTTTTAAATGTCAGTCCCAATTGGTTCTCCAGCCTGTGTAGCCTATGATTAGTACAGTGGCATGACAAACTCACACTGGATCCAATTTATCAGGGCTATCAGACACAAGTTTCTATAAGAGCAGGCTGTCTGTTTTACAAAATTATTTTTCCTCTCCCTGAAACTATCCTCCTGGGGTCCACAAGGGTATCTCTAGATTGGGGGAAAGGCACATTTTGAAATAGTAAGCCAAGTAATGGATATGAAAAATATACATTTTCCCTCTGATGATCTATGATTGAAATATGACTATGTGAATCATTGATATTGCCACTGCTAGACAATTGCAACAAACCTTGTACAAAATATAACATATATGGGGTCAATGGAAAAATTATGATTTGCTGAACAAGACTACCCTGTTTAAATTTATGTATCATTGTTGTATCTGAAGTTATAAATACTGGCTATAGGTTTGTATTCTAAATTGTTTGTTCCTGGGTTAAAACCCACCAGGAAGCCAGACAAGTAGGTGTTTACGGCACATTAAAGACACTTAATTCTCATAAAGGGCCATAAAAGAAAACTCAACCCACCTAGTAAGTCTTCCTGTGGACATGTTAGAATCATAGAATATTGGGGCTGGAAGAGACCTCAGGATGTCATCTAGTCCAAACTCCTGCTCAAAGCAGGACCAACCCTAACTAAATCATTCCAGCCAGAGCTTTGTCAAGCCTGGCCTTACCAAACGAACAAAACATGGATATGGCCAATGGCTACTCTGGTGAGTCAGTAAGCCATGTAAATATACATGATATGCTTATGTGACCCTGAACTAGATCTTGGGCTAAGGACTTTCCATAAAACTGAGGCTGTGAACTTTTTTGAAACACAAACATTTCCAGGAACATGGAAAAAAGGGTTTAAGAGTCCCCCTGGAATGAAAGCATTTTGCCTCTTTCCTACTCTGATTCTCTAGACTTACAACTAAGAAGACCATCTTTGAATTATGGACTGAGGACCTTCCAATCTTTTGGAATATACCAAAGATTTTACAAGCCAGCAGTTTATTCCATCACTGCTACAAACTTGATATAAGAACATTGCAATGATTATTATGTATATGATCTTAACCATTTTAACACGTTTCTTCTTTTCTCTTATAAATAAACCTTTAGATTTCATTTAATGGACTGGCAGCAGTGTGATTACTAGGTAAGATCTGAGCTAAATATTGACCTGGCTAGGTGGCTGAGCTCTTGAGATGAGAACACTTTGTTTGATTAAAATGGCTTTCAGTAACCACTCATCATAAATGGTGAAATAAGGGTTGGAATGTCTAAGACGACTGATTTTTTTTTGCTTCTTTTTTACCTAGTGTGTTGAAACAGAATCTTACTTTTATTATTGGCTTGGTATGTCTAATTATAGAATATATGCCAATTTGGGGTGAGTCTGCCCCATTTGCCAGCAGTTTCTCCAGAACCTGGTATTCTCAGCCATGACCTAGTAAGGCACTATAAAGTACCCCTGGATCTTATCTAACCCCCTTTAAACTTTTTAAATGGAATATTACTCCTCTTTAGAAAAAAGCTTTTAGACAAATTATAATTTGACCAATTGGAAAGGCAAAGCCAAATGGCTCTAGCTAAGGGAGAGCTGTGGCAGGGTTTATGCTTTAACCCTGGTGTAGAAAGGTCACAGTCTCTTGAAAGTGCAGTGTACCTGGCACACCTGTACCTTGAAGATGCAGTGTCTGACACATCTGGCCAGTTCCAGAGATCAGTCTATAGCAGGGTCTCATTTCCTTTCCACTCCCTTTGAGGTAATTTGTTTTCCTAGGACTGTATGAGCAGGATACTGGATCAGGTCCTAATGCTGGTCCTTGTGCTCTTGCTTCTCCTCTATGACAGAGAAAGGGACAACTTTGGTTTTTTTGTTGTTTTTTGTGTGTGGGGATAACCATAGTTTTAGATGCTACAATAAGTATATCTGCAGTAAAAATTTGAATATGTTATTTTTTTTAGCATGCCTGAAATAGCTTCAGTGTTGTCTCTCAGGAAAAGAAAAATAGTGCCCCCCTTTTTTCTTTTCTTTTCAGAAGAAGCTCTTCATTAGAGTAATTTACATCCTTCAAGCTGCAAGAAATTAAACTAGAAATTCTGAGATTTAATCTAGCTTCATTTCTATAGTTAAAGAAAGCTATAAAAGAGCAACACCCCCTGTCACTGTGCACCTGCATAATTTTATGTTTCAACTTACAATAAATATCACACTTGTTCTTATAGTGGCAGTGTAGTATTAGTTTCTTAAGGCTTCAAGAGCTGTTCTGGAAAAAGAAGCACACCTATAGAAAGGTCAGGATGTTTTGCTCTCTTTGCAATAACATAAATTAACTAATACGTGGAAAAGAAAACTTGATATTAGGGCTCATCAAATTCATTTGATGACTACTAGCCTGAGGGCCATGCTTAATTACTAGAGCAAAATTGCTGTCCATCATTTATTTTACATCTAAAAATATGGATAGATTTTCTAATATTTTCTTTCCCCTCCTGGTTTTACTTTACTTTTTGTTCTTTTATTTCCTGTAGAAAGGACCTCATATATAATACAAGCATGAAGACATTTACACTGATTTATCACAGACTCTTTAAAATTGCTGAGTAATCACTCATGTCATTATTAAAGTAAATAGTAGTTGTAAATAGAGGAATGGATATATGCCTAAGTCTGCAGAGAGCCTGAAACATTGACACAGAGAGATATAAACTACCCCCTTCATTTCATTTAACGTAGTATTAACATTCAAGCTGGATGACAATTTAAGTATTAGCATTAACTACGTCACAGCATATCCAATTAGCGTTTGTCATTTCTAAATGTAATAGAAGACACTAGGGTGAAGTACAGCAGGCAATTACTATAGTTCTTGTCACAGATTACTGGCATGGGAAAAGAGAGATTCCTCTCCTTTCTGAATTTCACAAAAAGCATGTATGCTATGTAACAGAGTTGCACTCTGATGCGTTCCAGCTGTCTCATTGAAATGCAAAATCTTACAGTTATTTGCTTACTGAGGCATGCAATCTGTATTTGTGACAAAAGTTCTAACACTTTGGCTAAATTGTTACCAATGACAGTTTTAGAGGCCTACCTATTTATTTGTTAATATTATCCAGCACCATGTTATTTGCTGTGCTTTGCTGAATTTTTAAATTCACTTCAGTCTGTAATTCATCACTGTATTTTTAACTGTGAAAAATGAGTCTACCACTTCAAGAGTTAAATGGCAGCCATTAAATCTAATCAGTTTTTTGTGATAACACAACAGTTCATCAGTTTCACATACTATAGTATACACTGATAAAATGTGCAATTACAATCTTCAGCTTTTTCTTCTCTGAAGGTGATACTTTACAACTTAAAATATCAACCTTTTCTCAGAAATGAAAAAAACTAACCCACGAAGAAAAGTTTTTAATTCAGTGTGAAGATATCTTCAGACAACTTGCAGTTTTGTATCTCAGGAAAACCTGTTATATATATACTGTTTTACAAATTATGCTGGCAACAACCCAGTGCTACACTCTGATGGACACTTTTAAAATTATATAAGTAAAAGGGCCAAATTCTGCTCTTAGTTACACATGCACAACCCAAAGTAAATGGAAGTTGGGTGCACACAGCCCATGGCAAAATCTGGCATAAAATATTTTAAAACATAAAAACATATTGACCAAAAGAATCCACATTTTATGACTGAAGTTGTGGATTAAAAACAGCTGTATATTTAACCACATAAAAACCTTCTGCATTAATGTACCTAATTTGAGTAAGAATATTGGAAATGCTGGCAAAACAGGAAAGCTACAAGGCATCCGGGATTGAATGTCCTACAGAATGTAATTAAAACCAGTTCTTAATAAGCCACTGAAAAAAGATCAGAGAAACGGTCACTATTAGTTGAAAGGCAACTATATTCTCATCTTTCAGGCCGGCATATCTAATTCGAGTTTAGCAAAATTTCTGTACCTTTTTGGTTTTCAAACTCTTCTGTCAACAGGTGATAACAGCAGCCCACACTGCAAACTGCCTTGATTTCAGGCTTAGCAGTAAAGATTCGCAGTGTATTCGGAGCAAGATCCCCACATGTATGTAGTCCCACCATTATACAGTCCTAAAAATAAACAGCAACAAACACATTTCTTTTCAACTAAAGAAAAGACAAGAACAATAAATGCAGACAAGCTATAAATGGTTAATTTGTTGTGAGATTTGAATACGCAAGCTCCTGGAGATTTCTGGTTCCTGTTCTGGAAATGTATTGAAAAACACCAAAAGCATTTCAATACCAACAAATTAGGAGCCCCTTACCTATAAACAAATATGGGAGGGGGGGGGGGGGGGGGAGGAGCTCTCTGTGTCTTGTTGAAACTGTAGGCTATTCTCAATTTTCCTTATTATTCATTGCTTTCTTTGGCAAAGAGAAAGCAGGAGGCCCCAACCAATAACTGAAGCTGAACCACCTGCAGGGCAATACAAAGACCTACCACCAAATGACCAGCCATTCTCTTTTGAGCTTTTTCTTTCTTTACTTTTTTTGTTTTTTCCTTTAAAATTTCCTACCTTAAACTATATAACCAAATGTATCCCTGACCCTTCTGCTATTTCTCAATGCCTCAACAGACATTGGCAATACTTTCAACCTTTGACTGAAAGTAAATGTTGTTCGAGACGATGAATTTTCTGCATCTGTTTTGTTTGCTATGTCTCAGTATCTGTCCTCCAATAGTCCTTGAAGTAAACAAGAGTTTTGTCAATTATTTCAACAGAAGCATGATCAGAGTTTTAGTTATGAATAGCATACTCTTCTAGCTTTCCATATCCTGTGTTCTTTTTTTTCTCGCGCTTTCTCTTTTTGTCCCTTTTATTTCTCCATTCCTGTTATCCTTTGTTTCACTTCCTACTATGAATCTTCTCTGCTTCCTTCCACCAATATACTGTCCATTACTCCTTTTCTCCTCTCTTTTACCTTCACTTTTCTCCCTGTTATCCTTTTACTCCATTACAGTTTTGTCTGGAATTTTCAGTCTGTAGGAATTGTCACCTATGCAATCCTTTTCTTCTAACTAACCCAATAGTGAGGTCAGCAGTCTGCATTACTTTCTCTCCTAATGGTAATGTGAAAGAGTCTTAGAAAGGAAATAGGGCCTAGTATGAGATGGAAATTCACACTCATGAAAGAACAGCATTAAACCTGGTAAGGGAAGTTGAACAAATTCTCCCAAAAGAAAGGTTGTGAAAGATGGTCATCAGATAAGATTCTGTTAAAACAGTCCAAAGGACAGATTTTGTTCTGAGCTACACTGTTGTGATCTACCTACTATTCCACTTTTGTAAACCCCATTGACTTCAGTGGGATTGTATTTGTGTCACCGAAAGCACATTCTGATGCCTTGAATTATACAATGGATATATCCAACACAATTAACTAATTCAGCATTAGCTCTGGGCTTCACACAAGCATATCTTCAAACCCTGATACTGTTTTAGCGAGTCAAAATAATTTAGAAATTTTGCTAAATGAATCTATCTACACTGCAGTTTTTCTCCAAACTTTCTCAGTGTTCAGGAATACTACAAAATCAGTTGATTGTTTTAAAACAAAATGTTAACCATTTGTCATAAAGCTTTAAAAGGCCTTTTTCTGGTACAATTTATCACATATCTTGCCAGACCATACCGTTTATTATTTGTAGCAACAATAGTGTGACATTCCTTCTAAAAATGAGTGTAAAGGCCTGATCTCTGTTCACCTCCACCTTGTGCATTCATTTACATCAGTGCAAAGAAAGCACTTAGTGGATGTAAAACATAACCATTCTTTCTTGGTAGAATTTACTTTGTGCTCACTTTGTAACCATGCAAATTATTTCATAAGGTAAAGGGAAACTGAGATCAGGCCCCAGTTGTTTAGTTGATTATTAAACTGTCATTATTTTTAAGTCTGAAAATCCAAACTTTAATGATGCTTATTGATTAAAATTATTTTCTAATTCCTTCAGAGGGGTTATTATGCTATACCATATAAAGTATTTCAGGTCTAAAGATCAATTTCAGGTTACATACATTTTAATGACCAAAGAGCAATAATTTCATAAAAGTTGTATTAATGCAAAATATATTCTTCAGAATAACTTGTAAATATAAATTACTCTCCTTATAATTTAATGGGTTTATATGTAACTAGAATAATAAAGTTACAGGGTAGTTGATGAATGCTATTGTAAAGTCACTTAACTTTGTTTTAAGTGGTAATTTCAGCCACTTCATAAAGCTCTAAGTCAGGAGTGGGGAATCTAAGGCCCAGGGGCCGGATGCTGTCCCTGGCTTGCCTGTATCTGGCTCCTGAGGCTCAGGGCTCCCCTCTACTACTGGGGAGCCAGTGCCAGTGCTCCAGCCCCCCTGCTGCCCTACCCTGGGGCTGAAGCACACAAAATCTGTTGGCCTGGGTCCCCCTAGGCCAGTGGTCTCCAACCTTTTCACACCCAAGATCACTTTTTAAATGTCAGGATAAGCCAAGATCTACTCCATCGCTTCCCCAAGATCCCACCCGTTCCTTGAGGCCCCACCCTCTCTGTTCTCCTTCTCTCCATCACTTGCTATATCCGACCCTTACACACTCTCAGGGTACGGCTACCCTGCCCATTTTTTTTCGATCCTTCTGTTGCAAGAGATTTTTCCGACATTTGGCCTGTCTATATTGGGCCAAATGTTGGAAACACCCCTTCTTTTGGAAGCCCCCTTACTCCTCGTTGAACGAGGAATACAGGGGTTGCCAAAAGAGCGTGTTTGCCAGAAAAACTCCTGCAGCCTAGCTGTACCCTCACTGGGTTGAGACAGGAGGTGAAAGCTCTAGGGTGAGAGATCTTGGTGTGGGAAAGGGTAAGAGGTGAAAGCTCTGGGAGGGAATCTGAATGCAGGAGGATGTGGAGAAGGGGATGCTGGCTCAGGGAGGGGGCTCCAGGCTGGGGAGTGTTGGGCTCAGGTGGAGGGTTGGGGTGTTGAGCATGGTTGGGAACGTGATGGGCTCAGGTCAGATTTGCAGTGTGTGGATGGTTCAGGAGTGTTGTGGCAGAAGACTGAGGATGTGGGGGTGCAGGAGTTTGGTGATGTGAGGCGCTCAGGACAGGGGGTTCCACTGTACGATAGGCTCAGATTTTGAGTTGGGGTGGGGGGTACAGGAGTGTTATGATGCTGTGGCCCGATGAGAGCTTGGCCCCAATTGGGGGCTTGTTGGCCAGGCTTTATTTTTAAATAAAATATTATGTTAAACACAATATTTCAGCGCTGTCTTTATTTATGAGAGGGGCAGGAAACCTGTTTTGAATCAGGGGTCACTGACCCACAGAAAAGTCAGTCGGGGCCACACAAGTGACATACAAAAACACAACCCCTCAAGCCTCACTAACATGACCCCAACTGTGCTGGTGGGGGCAGGGGACAGGGTGTAGTGGCAGGGGACAGGATGCCAGTGGGTGCCGAGGTACGGGACAGGGTGCTGGGGCAAGGGACAGGGATTCTGGGGCAGGGTGCCAGGGCAGGGGACAGGGTGTAGTGGCAGGGGACAGGATGCCAGTGGGTGCCGAGGTACGGGACAGGGTGCTGGGGCAAGGGACAGGGATTCTGGGGCAGGGTGCCAGGGCAGGGGACAGGGACCAGCAATCTACTGTCTGGGTCTGGGTGGTGGGAGGGGACAGGAACCAGTACCCGGGGATCCTGCAGCTGCATGCCAATGCCCAGGAAGTGCTCGGGCTGCTTCCCCGTCCCCCAAACAGTGGCACGGTACCTGAATCACTGGTCTGTCACACTCCGAGGACTTTCTTCCCTTGCTGCCTTCCTACACGGGGGAAAGGAAAGGAGTGGGAATCCCGGACCACGCCAGATCCAACTGCTCGGGCAGCACGCGCCTTGCTCCTCTGCTCCCCACGGCAGCATGCGCTGCCTGAGCAGTTGGAGCTGGCACAGCCCCGGAATCCCACTTCTGCCTCGCTCCCTCCCCCGTGCACGGGAAAGCAGCAGGGGAAGAAAGTCCCCAGCATGCAACAGATCGGTGTTTTATGTACTGCACTGGATGTTTGGGGAGGGGGGAAGAGCAGCCCGGGCACTTCCAGGACCTGGCGAGCAGCAGCAGAATTTCCTTCCATCCCACAGGATGTGTGAGGGAGTGTTTTTCGGCTTCTCAGTCAGGGGCCACGTCAGTGAGGGTTCTTCTTTTTTTGCTTCTCACTTGTGTGTGGCCCCTGACTGATTTTTCTGTGAGTCAGCAGTCCCCAACATCCCAAAAGTCCCCCCAACCCTAAGTAGTGCTGAATTCATTTAGCCAAAAGTAGTTCAGCATATGTACTGAAATAAGAAAAAAATGCACCAGTGAAAAATGCGTATACAAAGTGGCTATGAAGCTTTACACTCAGAATACTCCACTCACATTGTTGACAGCAATCTACTTTGCACAGGTGAAAATGTGTACACAAGGGGCAAAAGCAACTGAAAATCAGACACTTGTATTTCAAAAATAATGTTAATAAATTAAATAACCTCCAGATCTGTAATGATATCATGGAGTTCTGTTTCTGCAGTGATGTATGAGGTCAATGGCAAATAAATGCTTGAGTCACTTGACTTGCTTGCTTTGGCCTTTATGGAAGACATTTTTCTTTGCTCTTTTTCCTCTTCACAGAGCTCCATATTATATTTGGATGAAGAAACAGCTTCTACAGCATCAGCAGGTAGAATATTTAGAAGAGAAAAAGCATTCTCACATGTTTTGTTCCCATCAGACTGTGGCTGAGTCAACAAATGAGGTTCAGTTTGTTTATTGGTTTTCAACATAGCCGAGTCTGTGAAAGCACCAGAAATTTCCAAAGGAACTGAATCAGAAGTATTCACCTGGTCTTGACTTAAAAGACTGTTAGTACTTAAAAGCTTTTCGTTGCTATTTGCTCTACATTTCATTTCACCTTGCACTGCCCTTTCCATTGACTCTTCCAACACTTGGCTTCTTACATTTGCTCTTGCCCGACTTTGATAAGCTCTCCAGTGTTTCTTCAATTTCCTGTTCCTTTCATTAGCTCCATGAGTGTTGGTATTTGAGGAATCAATTCCATAAACCTTTAGTTTATATTGCATGGATAGAAATGAGCTTAGGTAGCCTTTTCCAGAGCCCAGGTCAATCACCTAGAGTAAGGATAACAGAATAAATAAAAAAATAGCATGTACCACATTAATTAACAAAAAAAGAAGACATGTATCAAACACATGCTGATAATAAACAAACAGTCTCCTACAAATAAGAAGCACAGGTTCTATATTTACTTAATTCTTATTCTACTCAGCTTCTGTTTTTAAAATACCAAATATGTTAAAACTGGTTTAGTTCTACCACAGAAATTCAGTCAATGAACTAATTATGACTTTCAGTGTCCTGACTTTTCTAAGTCTTTTAATGTACTTTTGTGCGTGCAATTTCCTTTAGTTAAAAAAAAAAAGTAGAATAAAAATGAACAGACCATAGTCTCAAAGGGTATGTCTACACTACAAAGTTAATTAGAACTAACAGACGTTAGTTCGAATTAACTTTGATAGGCGCTACACATGCAAACCGCTAGTTCGAACTTAATTCGAACTAGCGGTGCGCTTAATTCGAACTAGGTAAACCTCATTCTACGAGGACTAACGCCTAGTTCGAATTAACTAGTTTGAATTAAGGGCTGTGTAGCCACTTAATTCGAACTAGTGGGAGGCTAGCCCTTCCCAGCTTGCCCTGGTGGCCACTCTGGCCAACACCAGGGAAACTTGTCTGCCCCCCTCCCGGCCCCGG